TAAAAATATGATATATAAATGTTAAAAATAATTAATTTGGGTGTGTAAGTTTACATATCGGTTAACATATGAGCACACACACACACTAGTGCTTACCTTTGCATATGAAATGCAATAACAACTATAATGGGCGCCTATCTGAAAAATCCGCGATGAAAATAATACTTGCACAAAAAACAACAACAGCTCTTAAGTCTACCTGAAAAAATTGTAAGCAAACAGGTACTTGAGGTTTGACAAAATTACTAAAGTTAATGTGATATGTGTAAAAAGTGAATTTATGTTTTTAAGAAATTAAAAGTGACTGAAAACAAAGTATAAAGGTTGATAATGTAACTTGTACTAACATGTTAAGAAGGTGAAAATTTTTAACAGTCGCTATGCAGAACTATAAATCTTTATTAATAATAACAATATACAATAATCCATCGAATTGGCTGCTATTCAAAACTTTTGGATAGCCCTCCGGTTCAACATATCGATTGCAGCAGGATAAAACTGCCTTTTGCTAGTATCTGGCAGGTTTCGAGTCAAAGATACACCTGCATCTGAAGATAACAGCATTCTTTGAAATATGTCTGTCAAAGTATCTAACCGTGATGTTTTTCGGCTTAAATGTTCTCTAGAAACATAAATTCCTTGTTTTTAGCTTCCTTCGCTTCCTCTGAAAGCATACCGATGGGTAAAATGGCCTTGAATTAATATTTTATGCACTGATGTACTCATGTAATACCAGGGATAAAATTCAACAAAATATTCAGCTGTTTCGAAACAATAGTTTTTAAGTTTAATGACATAGTTTTAAAAGCCACTGGCAATAGTTTGTAAAATTACGTGGAATTTTCTAATTAAGTTTTCATCTATTCCAGTAATGTCATTTTGGAAAAATCGCTTTGCCGTGTTACCATTATTAGTGTTGCCAAATTCAGGCTTAGGCTGGTCAATAATGAGACCAGTTCGCTTTTTAAACTCATTTTGAATCTTCCGTTTATTTTCCTTGATAACAGTTTCAATAGCTTTATTACTACGCCATTGTTTTACTGGTAATTTCTAAGCAACATTAGCGTGGGCCGAAAATCCGCTTTTTTAGAATTTTGATTGGTAATAGCAAAAAT